CATTAATTAATTTCCTTTCATCTCTGACACTTCTATTTTAGAGAAAGGGCAAATAGTAATATTAAAATATTTCCACTAATTAGACCCCTTTTAATGTGCACGAATTTCATGAACTGGGCCACTACTTACTCATATAATCACAACATTAGAAATCCGATATGCACCCTGAGATTCATCGATTAATCCAGGAGAAAACTGGGAGGTATATTGTGTTCCATTTGCTGTCTTTGACAAGTGTCTCCTGGGTTACCCAGTATGACCCACTACGAAGGCACTTGTGTGGCTCAGGAGGAACACTGCACAGAAAGAACAAAGAGTCTGGGGAATGTGGAGGGGGTTTGAAAGACTTGCCCTGCCCACCTCCCCACATGAAATGATAGCACAGAGCTCCCCACAGTCCCTCTTCTTTCCCTTTCCATCGCTCAGGAACAAGGAGGAGCTGCAATGACAATGTCCTCTCTGATCCACGTGCCTCTGTCACGCCCTCTCTCTCTGTCCATTCCCACGGCGATGCTTCCAGTGACACACACTGTCCGATCTGCCTGCTCCTTCCCCCTCAGAAAGAAATGCAGAAATACGCATCCCAACCTTGTTGGTCTCGGGGCAGATCCTCTTACCTTTAGACCAGGGCATGGAGCGATGCCCTCCTGGGAGCCCGATGTCCTGGGAGGAACAATGGGAGAGCAGGAGCTGTACCAAAGCCATGACATGCAGGTGCACCTCAGCGGCTCCGAACAGGTGGGACATATGTCCCAGTGGATGCGAGAGGATGGCTTTGGGGTCAGGCAAACCACGGTGACCATCTCAGCTCCATCACTTACTGCCTTACTGACTTAACCATCTCAGCCTGATTCTTAATCTGCTTCAGGGGGGTCCTGATACTCATTATCCACGTTTGTGGGTAAAGACATATTTAGTGCATAAAATGATGCAGACCGTCAATAAATTACGATCAGTGCTGCGAGTCAGGGCAAAATGGAGCATCTTCTTTTTTGTATCACTCTTTCCACTTCCTGCTCACAGGGAACTGAACCTGGAGCTGTTAAGTAACATCTCAAGATGACACACATAATTGCTGAGAGAGAGAGAGGCATTCAGGCGTTCCTTCCACTATATTGTGCAAGAGAAGAACGTCCACATGGGAAAGTAACTTTCTTTGAACTCAGTGGCTCTGAACAAATGAACACCTTACCCAAGTACTCAACTCTGACTGTCATCAAAGAATGTCACACAAAACATAGCTCCCGATGGAAATACTCCTTTTGACAAGACTGGCGATACTGTGACTGCACAGCCGGAGAGCCATGAAGACGCACGGAACTGCAAACTCTAAGCATCTCTTCCACGAGATGCAAATAAAACGGCCTCCTTAAGATTCCATTACCTGTCAGTTAGAAAGGACACAGTGCTCAACACGGGGCCGGCACATAGACTATTCATACAACTATTTCCTGTCAGCCTCATCCCTCTCCTTCGGACTCCAGGGAGAGTCCCATGTCAACCTCTTCGAGCAGAGGTGACCTTTCTACTCTAAAGATGTTCCCTCTCATTATTCCTGCTGGATCTAGGTGGGTGGCAGTGAACAGCTGTATCAGCTAGCTTTGGATGCATAACAAACATCCCCCTCCCCCATTTAGCGACTTGAAACAACAGCTGATGCTAGCCCTCACATTTCTGCGGCTCAGCAATGGTAGCTGTGCTCAGCGGAGTGCTCCTTCTGCAGTTCTCTCTCAGGAGCCTCCTCATGCTCCAGTGGTCAGAGCCCTGTCTGCTAACTAACTCTGCTGAGGACGGCTCAGGCTCTACGATGGCCTCCCTCACATTCTGGCCTTTGGTTCAGTCAGCTGGGTGAAGGGCAAGCTCGGCCATGGGCCTCTGGTCACCCACCTAGGGCCAGCTTCTTCATATTTTTGTCATCCTGTTTGAGGAGTGAGGAGTGCAAGCACTTGTTAATTCTCAGCTAGCTTCACAATTGCCTTTGTCCCCGGGACAAAGGGAGTTCCAGCTCCCAGGCCAAGGACGATGTGGGAGGGGACGCAGGCTCAAATCACAGTTCTTACTGTAACATGTTACTATTACAGCGGTTCCTCTAATGGCCTTGAGTGTCACTGGAGAAACACTAAGCTGGACAAGCCCGCAGGAGTGGTGGAAGGTAGTCTCTCAGAAATGATGTTAGCCCCTCTTTGGAAAAAGTCACAGCCATCTTCCCTGGCATTCTAATGGGCGGGTGGTAGACTTGGTGTATGAAATTCTGAGGACAAAAAACTAACTTCAAATTTTCCTGGGCCTTGTGCTAAACCTGTAAGCTGTGGCTCTTTACCCAGTAACATGCTCTGCATGCCTTTGCCAGTAGGAATCCAGCCCGCTTCTTTCCATATCATAATGCTGCTGCTGTTCCTCTCCCTTCCAACAGGCGTTCCCCCAGGCAGAGGCATATTGCAGGGGCATAATCTGACGGGAAAGTAACAGAAAAAAAGTAGAAAAAAGCCCCTCTGGTGAGACAACATATGGGACCTGCTATTGCAAAGTAATCTTGTGATGTGGCTGGGGCCTGGTGGGACCACTCCTCAGCCCGGACATCCTTCCTGTCTCCCGCCTCAGCTACAGGTCCTTCAGATGTATTCAAATCATCGCTCAAAGCTGAGTACACATTTATCATTTTCTACTACAATGTCCTACCCCTATTTTTAGGACCCTATGGTAAAGTCTATTTTTGGGTGGTTGATATTGTTTCTGTGAATGCCATTCCCCATTCTAAAGTTACAAATATTTTTATTGATTTATAGAGAAAGAGGGAGAGGGAGAGGGAGATGTGCATCAATGCAGTCAGCTGCCTCCTGTATGCTACCCGGGGTTGAGCCTGCAACCCTGGCGCATGCCCTGCCTGGGAACTGAATGGCAAACGTTCACTGCAGGGATGATGCCCAACCACATGAGCCACACCGGCCAGGGTTCCCCATTCCAAATTTACATGGTCATTGCTGACATACATGGAAGACCTTGTATTTTAAATATTACGATTTCATTCTACTATTGGGTCTAGTAATTAATATTTAAAGGAATTTATATAGACACCACTTCTTGGGTGTTTTCCAAGAACATATCCATATCATCTGTAAATAATGACAACTTTGCCTTCTTAACCAAAACGATAGTCTCTTTTATTACAATCTCATTACACTGGAAAGAACACTAAAACAACATTAATGATCTTGGTGATAACAGATGTTTGCCTAGATCCTGATTGTAAAGGGTATTTTTCCTAGTGGTTTCACATCACGTGTGTACGTGTGAGCATGGGCACACTGAGGGAGACAGCTTGCTAAAACCTATTTTCCTCATTTGTTTTTAATCACGGTGTTTCATTCCTACATCTGTTCCTGATCACTGAAACATGGTCAGTACCGGGTGTGTCTTTGTTGGTGGAAGTCATTCTCTTTGTCTCCATTTAATCATTTTCCTCATACACACCCATACCTGTGTATCATTGTATGCTCCAGGTATTGCCGATGTGTGTTGCAATGAACAGCATCAGTTTATGAGCTATTCTGGGTATCAATGGGGCGGTCAGACCCTGGGGAGCTGAACTAACTTGTTTAAATATTGGACTGTATGTTTCATAACTACCCTGTTTCCCGGAAAATAAGACAGTGTCTTATATTAATTTTTTCTCCCAAAGTTGCCCTAGGTCTTATTTTCGGAGGATGTCTTATTTTCGGGGAAACAAGGTACTTTCCATTTACATCTCAGCCAGTTTCCGCTGGAATAAGGAATTATCCCATTGGAGGCTGAGGTGTGGAGGATCTTACCTGCCCGGTGGCAGCAGTGTCTCTGGGTGAGGGGGAGACACAGAGGCACGAAGTTGCAATATGGCCACGGCTGAGGGACATCAGAGGCTCCTCCATGAGGCTCCTGCTGCTCCTAGAGCAGGAAAACAACACAGAAACTGAGCAGGGAGGGAAAGCTTTGGTGGTTGAATTTCTGGCTGGGGGGGGTGTGTGGGGGTGCTGGGCCTAGAGGATGGGATGGGCATCCAGAGCGGCCAGAGCACCCAGTGGCCTTGCTGCAGCCCAGTGCCAGGAGGCCTCTAAAAATCACAGTGTAGACTGTGAGGGGTTCCCTCAGGCCCGTTTGCCAACCCTCCCCCTGCACTTACCCAGGAGAGAGAGGAGGGTGGGGGGTGTGGAGGCTGGAGCTCCTGGGGGTGTCGTGGGCGGTGCTCCCCTGTTGGGGCACGTGACCAAATGCAAGGAGGCGAGGGGCTTACTGATGGAGACCCCAGGACCAGCGGAGGGGACAGGAAACCGTCCAGCTGTAGGCTGTGCCAAGAAGCTGGCAGGGGATGAACCTGCCAGAGCAATGGACTGCCCGCCATGACTCAGCAGAGCTCAGGTGAGACCTGGTGGGGAGGCCAGTGGCTCTGACACCCCTGCCTGCTGGGTACCAGGGAGCAGGTGCGGGTCCCATGGGCGATGGGGAGGATGCACTTGGCTCCGCTGCGGGAGCACCACCGCCCGTGCGGGTCCAGGCGGGTGGGCGTGCGCACGTGCAGGGCTGGCGCCCGCTGGTCCACGGGGGGCCTCACCCGCGCGAAGGCGAGTCCCGCCAGAGGGGCGGGCGCCTGCGCACTGGGCCCGGCGCCGCTGCGGGAGCCGAGACCCCCGCTCCCGCCCCCCGCCCCCCGCCCCGCGGGGCCGCGCACGCGGGAGGGACGCGCACGAGCACGCGGAGCCGCTCGCCTCCCTGCACCGGGCGGGCGGCGCGGAGGGGCGCGCGGGGGCCGCGGGGCTGCGTGCGGAGCGGAGCGCGGCGCCGGCCACGCAGCGTGAGCGCTCGGACCCGGCGCGGAGGGCGGGCCGCCCGGCTGACGTCCGCGCCGCCCCCGCCCCGCCCCCGCCGGTCCAGGCTCCGGGTCGGGGCTGCGGCGTCGCCCGCCTCCCGCTCACTCGCCTCCGCTCCTTCCCGCCGCCCTCGCCCGGAGCCCGTCCTCAGCGGCAGCGGCAGCGGCAGCGGCAGCGGAGCGCAGCGGCGGCGGCCCGCGGAGCACGGCGGCGGCACCCTGGAGGATGAAGTGCAAGCCGAACCAGACGCGCACGTACGACCCCGAGGGCTTCAAGAAGAGGGCGGCGTGCCTGTGCTTCCGCAGCGAGCGCGAGGACGAGGTGCTGCTGGTGAGCAGCAGCCGCTACCCGGACCGCTGGATCGTGCCGGGCGGGGGCATGGAGCCCGAGGAGGAGCCGAGCGGCGCGGCCGTGCGCGAGGTGTATGAGGAGGCGGGCGTGCGCGGCAAGCTGGGCCGGCTGCTGGGCGTCTTCGAGCAGCGCCAGGCGCCCAAGCACCGCACCTACGTGTTCGTGCTCACCGTCACCGAGGTGCTGGAGGACTGGGAGGACGCGGTGAGCATCGGCCGGAAGCGCGAGTGGTTCAAAGTCGACGATGCCATCAAGGTCCTGCAGGGCCACAAGCCGGTGCACGCCGAGTACCTGCAGACTCTGAAGCTGGGCGCGCCCGCCGCCAACGGGGGCCCGGCGCCAGGCAGCGGCCCCTAGTATGTACCGCGCCCCCGCCCTGCCCCGCGCCCCGCGCCCCGCGCCCCGCGCCCGGGGCCCTTTGTCTCCGCAGCCGCTCCCGCCGCTTCCCCGTCCCGCTTGCCGGCCGCGGGCGGACGCGCCGCCGTTTGCAGGAGCCGGAGCCGCTGGCCGGCGCGCAGGGGCGTCCGAAGGTGCCTTAGCGCCCGCCGGCCCGGGGCCCGGGGGCGCGTGTGGGCCGTGGGCCCGGCCTGGGCCCGGCCCGGGTTCGGGCAAAGGCGTTCGGTCCGTCCGCCCCGGTGTCCGGCGTCTCGCGCGCCTCCTCCCCGCGTCGTGTCCTCCTTCGCAGTGTCAGCCCCGGGCAGCCCGACCCGCTGTCCAGGGCAGTTTGCATTAAAAGATGTTTCAGAACTTGGGCTGCTTGTGCTCTTGTCGCGCGCGACAATGCCTTTCCCTCCGGGAATAACGGGATCCCCTCGCCCCTTTCAGAAGCGTCTTCATGCGGAGGGACAGCATCTGGTCTGCAAACACCGCTCCCAGCTGCAGTGCTGACCGCTTGCTCGCGGTGGCCGTTCCCCAGCGGCCCCAGTGCAGGCTCACCTGAGCCCGGAGAGCAGGTGTTTCTGGGGAGGGTCAGCCAAGCGCACCCAGGGCCCTCCTGGGGAAACTGGTCACAGGGGTGTGCAGCGAGCTCCCTTCCAGCCCCCAGCCCTGCCTCACGCCCTGGGCATGGCCCTGGCTTTCTCACAAGCAGCTCGGGAAAGAAAGCTGCTGCACATGTTTGAGTGGAGCGGGGTCCAGGCAGTGGTCCAGGCAGACGTCCGGCTGTGGGTAACCAGCCATGGGAGCGGGGAGGACACCCAGCTGAGTGAGGTCCCTCTCTGCAGGTCAGCTGTCCCAGACTGTCAGGGTGGAGGCACACCTGAGCGATCTGGCTCAGACGTTTAGAATAAGCGTGTGTCTGTCACACGCAGTCCCCGTGGCCGCTGAATGAAAAACCCTCCCATTGGCCTGGATGCTGGCTTGGCCTCCTGACCCCCAGCTGAGATCCCTGGGTCTCTCCTGAACCACCCTATTCCCCTGGGCATGCGTCCCGGGAAGCTGTTGGTACTGCGGTTAGCAGGCCTCCTGTGTGTGCGGGCAAACAGCACTCTGAGGAGTGGGAACATGAAGTAAAACACGAGGGAGAGCTGGATGTGTAGAAACTACACTGGGGCTTGGAAGGCAGACAGACCTGGGGTTGAAAACTGCCTGCATCTAAAATGCTCCCCCAAATACCTGGCAGGTTTAATTTAGCCATGGCTTTCTTAGAGATAACAATACACAATCGCATGTTTTGAGGTCTCTGCTATGTATCTGACAAATTGAAAAATACAATTTTGATCTTTATCAACACTTACGAGTTGTTAGCCTATATTTGCTGTATGATATTCAGAAATATTTGGATTGCCAACCTATCTTCAATGTACACAATGTGTAACACTTCCAAGGTTGTTTTTTTTTTTTTTTTTTTTCTAAATCACAGCAGAGCAGGCGTCCTCAAACTTTTTAAAGTGGGTCCTCAAACTTTTTAAAGTGGGGGCCAGATCACGGTCCCTCAGAGAGCTGGAGGGCCGGACTATATGAACTACTAATTCCTACTGTAACACCTCGGCTGCGCTCACTGCCCAAAAAACCTGGCGGGCCGGATCAGACTCCTCTGAGGGCCGCATGTGGCCCGCGGGCCATAGTTTGAAGACGCCTGTTACAGTTATCGCACTGTCAGTTAAGTTTTCACATTCACATGGGCAGGTCTTGGTATATGTACTTCTGGAGTTCAGTCAAAACAGGTTAAATGAAAAATAAAAGCAAAAAGCCCTTCATTTTGAAAGAGAAATACAAAACTTCAGACTAAAACAGTTGGCAGGGACAGTAGCAAATGGAATGGTGTCTATAACCGCCATTCTCCATGAGATTAGTACACAGGTGGGATTTTCTGCTCACGGAGTCATCACATAGCACCCATGCATTACTTACGTGGTGTTTGCACTAAAAATGTGCACATGAGTCTTTCAGCTTATACCCCTCCCAGAAAATAGTACATTGATCAAAGATCATTAATACTTTCAGACATGAGGTAGAAATTTGTTTTCAGCATGTTTTTTTAAAATATATTTTATTAATTTTTTTTTACAGAGAGGAAGGGAGAGAGATAGAAACATCGATGAGAGAAACATCAATCAGCCGCCTCCTGCACACCTCCTACTGGTACATGCCCTTGACTGGAATCGAACCTGGGACCTTTCTGTCTGCAGGCTGATGCTCTATCCACTGAGCCAATCTGGTTTCGTCAGCATCTTGTTTTTTGAAGGTTAATTTTTCCCCCAACTCTACAAGTGCCTATTCTTATCTTTACAATAAGTTTTAAGAAGACATGGAGTAAATTTTCATTTGAGATCATTGTAAAGATTTGAACAGTTTTATATGGAGAAACATCAAACATTGGGGGGAGGGGAGGAGGGTGAAGGAGCAGGAACAAGCAGCTTGTAAAGTACCAGCAACATTAGAGACACCTCCTGGGACAGACACTTGAAAGGGCCCTGGAGCCAGAGCTGCGCCTCTCACTTCCTGTCCTGTTGAGTCCAATTGTAAGAAAAAGCAATTCCGCCAAGACCTGTTTGGATCAATGGATAGAGCGTCAGCTTAGGGTCTGAAAGGTCCCGGGTTCGATTCCAGTCAAGGGCATATCCCCAGTAGGGGGTGTGCAAGAGGCAACTGATCGATGACTCTATCATCGATGTTTCTAACTCTCTATCTCTCTCCCTTCCTCTGTACAAAATCAATAAAATATATTAAAAAAAAAAAAAAAAAAAAAAGAAAAAGCAATTCCTCCATCAGTAGTTGCTTACTGGGAAAAGGGAGGTGAAAGTGTGTTTGTGGAAACCACGGGACTAACAGCTGGCCAGAGTTTTCTTTTTCAGGGTTCCTTTTGTGGAAGCACCAAGCAAAACAGGAAGTATTTGCAGCATCCTTCTAGTATCGTAATCATCTTTCTGAATGACTGGTGGCCTGTTAGACTGTGAACTCGGAGGACTAGGACCCAGCCTGATTCCTGCCCATGTCCTCAGCAGCTAGAACAGTGGCTCAAATTTGGAGATATTTGTCATTGATCCGGAGATCGGAAGTGTCTACTACTAGTATATTCTTGGTTTCTTAGCTTCGTATGTTCCCTGAGACAATCTGGTACTCCCTCAGGCTCTCATCTGGCCTCACAGCAGAACTGCATTGGATCATTCACTGATGGCTTTCCCAATAAACAAGTGGTTAATGAACCATCGTAGACCACCAATAAACATTTGCTGACTGGAGGAATTGATGAACCAATAAAACTATTAATGAGGCTTTTTCCCCAGATTTACTTTGAAAGAATCCAGAATGTGAACCCAGCCAGCGGTGAGTGGAATGGTGAAGCACAGGTGAGCGCTTTCATCAAGAACACAGCTCATTCTGTGCTTTTGGACAGTTCTTGCCTGTGTATTACAATGCCAATTCTAAAGGTTGTTGCATTGCCACGGTATCCGTACAGACTTCTAATTTGGCACTTATGGCCTTTTTCTGTGCTTTTCTTATTATGTGTCTGTATTTCCCACAGGCTTATATGACCTTGAGTGCAAGGACCTTGTTTCCATGGTCTTTTTATATATCTAGCATACAAGACATCACTTGAAATATGGTAGCTATCACTGAAGATTTGGCTAAATAATATCTTGTAATGGCGCTGAGTGGTAAAGCATTCACCTTCTAATTGGGTGTTAGTACAATAAATGCTCTCTAACATACATGTGGCTTTTGCACATAAGGTGTCAAGTGTTTCAAGCAAAAAATTCTTACTCATATCTATGTCATCTGAGACATCATGTGATTCCTGATGGTAGTACATTGCACCACCTATGAAATATATTTGCCAAAATTTTGGACTTAAATGTAACTGTGCCTCTGGATATAAATCCTAATCTGTAGAAAATACAGGGAACAGAGGAACATACACCAGAGAGATGATAGCAGAATCCAGACTGTAGGAAATTCTATAGGACAGATATTTCTTCTGTAAATGAATGACCTGGATGAAAGAAAGAAATGGGAGGATGAACCTATAGATGAAAAGACTCAAGAGACAGATGAACCAGTTGTAATATATGGATATTTTTGGGCCCTGATTTGACCAAACTGTAAAATACATTTATAAGACAGTCCGGATAATTTGAAGATTGATTTGACATTTGATATTGGGATAAGTGGTGGTGTGGTTATGTTGAAAACAAACGAGACTTTATCTTTTATAGATACATTCTCAAACATTTACAGTTGGTATATTGTCTAGAATTTGCTGCAAAATACTAAGTCTGGATGTTAAATGCATCAAAGATACCGGTGTTGATGAAATAAGATTGACCTTTACTTGATAACTGTTGAATTTGTGTGATGGTTAAATGATGGTTCATTATATGTTTCTCTCTACTTTTGTATGTTTAACAGTTTCCATAATAAAAAAAGTGAATTTAAAAAGTTATCAGTATTCTTATTAAAGCTAATATATAAGACACAGGGGGGTGGGAAGAGGGAAACTTTTTAGATTGTTTAGAAAATGTTGGCTCTGTAATGCCACTTCTGGCCCAAGAGGTCAAATACTGAAAAAGAGAGGAGCAACATCCCCTGGAGTGGCTAGTATTTCCCTTGCTACAGACCATTTTTAGGAGGTGTTTTGTTTGTTTGTTTTGTTTTTCCTCTAATTTGGCTCATCAAAATAGGAAGAGTTAGTAAATTCTTTTTAAAAAAATATATTTTATTGATTTTTTACAGAGAGAAAGGGAGAGAGATAGAGAGATAGAAACAGCAATGAGAGAGAAACATGGACCAGCTGCCTCTTGCACACCCCCTACCGGGGATGTGCCCGCAACCAATGTACATGCCCCTGACCGGAATCGAACCTGGGACTTTTCAGTCGGCAGACCGATGCTCTACCACTGAGCCAAACCGGTTTCGGCAGGAAGAGTTAAATTCTTATTTATATCTATTAGAGAATAGGAATAGATTCTCATGTTCTGTTAAGCAGGATTTTTGACAACACA